AACATGGTGAAACCCCGTCTCTACTAAAAATACAAAAATTAGTTAGCTGGGCATGTTGCTGCACGTCTGTAATCCTAGCTACTTAGGAGGCTAAGGTAGGAGAATTGCTTGAACCTGGGAGGCAAAGGTTGCAGTGAGCCACGATTGTGCCACTGCACTCCAGCCTGGGTGACAGAGCAAGACTGTCTCAAAAAAAATAATTGAGGCAGGTGGATCACGAGGTCAAGAGATCGAGACCATCCCGGTCAACATGGTGAAACCCTGTCTCTACTAAAAATACAAAAAATTAGCTGGGCATGGTGGCGTGTGCCTATAATCCCAGCTACTCAGGAGGCTGAGGCAGGAGAATTGCCTGAACTCAGGAGGCGGAGGTTGCAGTGAGCCGAGATGGCGCCATTGCCCTCCAGCCTGGGTAAGAAGAGCGAAACTCCGTCTCAAAAATAAAATAAAATAAAATAAAATAATTAAAAAAATAAAAACACAACTTCCAGTGTATCTCATAAGGTCAAGTACAGATTCAGTCCAGTTTCCTACATCAACACTGCATTGTTAAGTGATGTCTTAGAGGTAGTATAGTCAAGGGAATAGGAGCCATGGGCTCTGGAGGCAACTTTGCCAATCAGTGACTGTGATCTTAAGCAAATAGTGTGAATGTATTGAACCACAATTTATTTGTCAATATAACAAGGATAATAGGCCAGGCGCCATGGCTCACACCTGTAATCCCTTTAAGAGGCAAAGACAGGCGGATCATGAGGTCAAGAGTTCAAGACCAGCCTGACCAACATGGTGAAACCCCATCTCTACTAAAAACACAAAAATTAGCTGGGCATGGTGGCGCACTGTAATCCCAGCTACTCAGGAGGCTGAGGCAAGAGAATCACTTGAACCCAGGAGTCAGAAGTTGCAGTGAGCCGAGATCACAGCACTGCACTCCAGTCTGGGTGACAGAGCAAGACTCTGTCTCTAAAAACAAACAAACAAAACAAGGACAAAAATAGTCCTTCTATGCCAAAGGAGTTCCTATCTCAAAGGAGTTCCAGTGAGAAACTACATGTAAAGTGCTTAGCACAGGGTCTGGCCCATAGGTAAATGCTGGATCATCACATTACTACAATGACCAAAGGCTCTGGATCATGAGGGTACCAACAGGTAAGAAAAAAGAACAAATGGCATTACACTGAAGTTTGGGGATATTTAGAATGCACTGTATGAAAAACTGGTAATCCACTTTGGTAGGCCAAGGCAGCACATCATCTGAGGTCAGAAATTCAAGACCAGCCTGGCCAATATGGCTAAATTCCACCTCTACTAAAAATATAAAAATTAGCCAGGTGTCATGGCAGGTGCCTGTAATCCCAGCTGCTCAGGAAGCTGAGGCAGAAGAATCACCTGATCTCAGGAGGTAGAGTGTGCAGTGAGCCAAGATCACACTACCGCACTCCAGCCTAGGCGACAGGGTAAGATACCAACTCAAGAAAAAAAAAAAATCAGTAATCCATACTACGACAAGATCATGCAGAGCCTCTGGTCACCGTTACAGTAACAATAATCATAACCTCATAACCCTACATTTAAGGGAAACTCTACTATGAGCCAGGCACTGTGCTAAACACTTTATATTTAGTTTTACATTTTAACTCATATGAAGCAAGAAACTATTATTATTCCCACTTTAGAGGTGAAGAACTTGAGAGGCAGCATGTTTATATAATTTGCTCATGATTACAAAGCCAATAACTGGCAAAGCAGAGATCTGAATCCAGGCAATCTGCTGTCAAAACCTGCTTCTGATAGAAATTATTAACCTGAACCTGGATAAGTAACTTCACGCATTGAAAGACTTTAATTTCATCCTCCGTAATATGAGCACAGTGGTCTAAAATAGGTGTTCTCAAAAGTCCCTCCTAAACTTCTCTGGACAACAGCTATTTAAATCCAGATTTTCAACAAAAAACAAAGTATCTCTGCTGTAGTCCTTTTATTAAATTGGTGCATAAGTAATTGCGGGTTTTGCCATTACTTTTATGGCTACATCACCAAGACGCATCAGCCTAATAGAAAACTTCACTAAGTCCCTTTGCATGACGTCCAAAGAGAATCTTACTTAAAATGAATTCTATCTGACAGCACTTGCACTACATGGACACTAAGGACACATACAACAAAATTAGCCAGAGCTGTAGGATCTGAATTCAGTCATTCTACCTCTCAGGATTTCAGCTTCCTTATCTGTAGAAATGAAGTGACTTTTAGATACAAATAATCCCTAAGAAAGCAGCCTCCAAAACCCAAGGAAACCAATCAGCTTTACTAGAACAAGAAAGTATTATAGTTTGTAAAACCACATTCAAATACACTGATTGCTTTTACAATATAAGCCATGTAAGTAAAGCTCCTCAAAATCTATTGTGTTGGTAGAAACTGGCAAAAAAGAAGCAGTGTAGGACAGAATGGGTTTCTTTAAAAATTTTAACATATATTAGAGTAGATCACTATAGAAAGCCTCTTTTATTAATAGCTCAAAAAGTCTGTTAAAAAATAAAGTTGGTATTCTATGAAAAACTCTGATTTAAATAAAATTACATTTGCCAGAATATTTTGAAAAAGTCATCAGAACTTCTTAAGATATTTTCTTCCTTTTTTAGTAAAACTATTTCAATAAATGCACATACACAAAATTCTGCACACAAGACTCAGGTGTTCTTTGTTTCTTAGACAAACTTGATACAGTTATCAACACAAACCAAGTCTGATAATATTCCGGCCAAAACACAAGCAAGTTCCTCCTCTAATCCTAAAATTGCTTCAAAACCCTAAGCTCCATTTTATGAAAAAGAAATGAGACATAATGTATATGTAATTTTTCCTGAAGCCAAATAAATAAAACCCAATTTCCAATCAAATCTGTCCTCTTACAAATCTTTTGGCCATTTTTGCCTATCCAATAGTATCACCAGGGATGGAAAGAGAAGAGACCAAACTGAATCCAGTCCATTTGGCTCTTACTAGCATCATTGGTGAATGGTTTGCTGAGTAACAACTGGCAGTCCCTATACTACTTGTCAATATCAGGTTTGAGGAAATGATGTGGATTTAATCTCCCCTAATCCCCATTCCAGTAGATAATTCACCAATAGCTAGTTGTATTCAGAGTCATCTCCTAGAGAAAGATAACAAGATCTATCTACCGTATCAGCTCCCAAAACTCCCTGTAAGATTTTAGGTTATCCTGTAGGACTGAACTCCAGTAGGGTGTATGAGAATAAAGAGAGGGAATGTTAAAAAAAAAAAAAAAAAAAAAAAAAAAAAAGAGGGCCTCTCCTACCAAACGTAGCTTCCCTGCTCTACTACCTCTAAAAACAAGCACATAAATTCCAGAAAGCAAATTCCTCCTTTTCTCTATGAAACTAATCCCATCTTGCAACACCTCTTCATTTTATTAAAATAAGCAAATGTTAGGAGGAAATATACCTTAATGTTAACATCTTCCATTCCTGAAGGATCCTTGTGAAAATTCCTTGTGAAGATCCTCTCTCGTTAAAAACTCTCATATACACAATTTAGAGGTTTCAGGGACTCCCTTGAACTGTCAAAAGTTAAAAATCATTACTCTAGCCTAGAGAGTCATGTTCTTCTCAATAACCTCATCTCTTTTTCATGACTGGGAGCCACTCCAAACATCTGAAATGGAGAGATGAAGGCTGCAACTGTACCTGACACTATACCTCTGTCAAATAGTTGGTTCTCCCATCTTTTAGCACTCCTCGAAAGATTTCTGCTTCATTTCCTTGACCATCCAAATTGGGTCTTGTTGGAGGCTTTCTCCTCTCTCCTTTTTCTTTCTTTAACTGAGCCTAGAAGCTTACAGCCAAATCAACTTCTAAGTGAAGGATAAGTGTTTGCCTAGGAGCAAAAGCCACCCGTGAACACACACCCGTATTACGCCTTTCCCAACCCAAGATGCCCAGGACACTGCCAACTGCTATGGCTGTGAACTGGATCAGAAAGAAAGAACAGAAATAAGGACACTCTTCATTTCAACCTTTTTGTCTGGGGCACTTCTTGGGTTTTTCATTGGCATTTAACACCAAGACACAAGACTCATTTTTCATTAAAATTGCAAGACTTTCACTTTGCCCAGTTTCAAATGATGTAATTGATCTGTATTGTCTTCTTAACCCAACTGGTGAAGGACACTACAGCTTTAAATATTTCAGTGCTAGCTAGCAAATAGACTCCATTGCAATATGGCTCTGAAGGTCACGCCCTATTGTCTCTTACCTCTGGGGGGAAAAAAAATCCTTCTTGTAGGTAACATGGAAAGGATTGCCCTTAGAATTTCCACTCTTCCACCTCCTTCCCTTACACAGTTGCGGGTGTTTATTGGAATCTCACACTCATAATTTTCCCAGCAGGGGCAATATGCTGATTGTTATTAATGATTCTAGCACCTTAGCGAGACATAAACACATGTGTTCACATTAGTTTAATTGAGCATATGCAACCATCTGAAATAGCACCACTCAAGGGTTGTTAACATCTTTAAGATTAAAGCCAAGGTGGTTTGGGTGTGGACAGCTTGCAGGCGGCACCCTGAGCTCAGGATTGCATAACCTGCAATGTGTAGCTACTCAAAATGATAGGAATCTCAGCCTACTCATCCTGGAACTATGCCGGCACCTTGCCATACACTTGCAGCTTTACTGTCAAACGAAGTCAAAATAAGAGGTACAAACACCATGAGGAGAAAATAAAGTAAAAGAAAAAGCGTTTTCTACCCTGAAGGGACGAATACGATTCCTCCAGCAATCACAATGTTCTCCCAATCTCATCCCCCGAGAATGGAACAGCCCCAGAGAACTGGAGGCTTCGAAAGCGGGCAGAGGAGCTGGACATTGCTGCCCTTTTAAAATAAAAGCGGGTTGACGATTAAAGTCAGAGAAGGGGCAAAATGAGCGGGGCAGGGGAAGGAGTGTGCAGGTGCACCAGAGCATTACCTGAAATGGCAACAGATTGTTACCATTATCGGTCCGGAAAGCGTTATCCTCCATCCAGGACTTGGAGGTGAGCGGCGCCGCACGAGGGAACTTGGGCGGCGCGATCACGTTGCTGGAGAAGGGCTTTTTGAGCGGCGAGATGGGGTTGAGCGGGGAAGGCACCCCGACACCCACACCCACGCCCACACCGACCGCCCGGCGAGGGTCCCGGCCCGCCTGCAGGCCGCCCCAGGGATTAGACGGTGCGCTCCAAGCTGCGTTCACACTTTGGTGCGTGTTCCAGCTGGAGGAGGCCGACGAGGCGGCGGCTGCTGCAGCAGCGGCTGCAACCGCCGAAGACGAGGACGGCTTGCTGGTCATGATGGGCTGGTGGCCGTAAGCCGCGGCGGCACTCCTCTGCGCGTAGGGCGCCTGGCTGGGGCTGGCGGGTGAGCGGCGCTGCTGCGGGGGCTGCGCCTGCGGGGGCTGCGCTGGCTGTGCCGGCTGAGGCGCCGGCGGCGGCGGCTGCTGGTGGTGCTGGGTCTGCGCCAGGCCGATCTGCGGGGAGAAAGTGCCTCCAAAGACTGGGTTGACATGGTGCGGGAAGTTCTGGAAGAGCATGGTCCCGTTGACTGGGGTGATCCCCTGGAAGAAGCTGTCCTCCACCGCGTTCGTGGTCCCCGTGGACCAGGTGCTGCCGAAGGACGGCGACAGCGACGCGCCCGGCGCCGCGGGCTCCTGAGGCGGCGGCGGCGGCTGCTGAGGGGGCTGATGGAAACTCAAGCCTGGCAGGAGCGGTGATTCCATCTGCATCTTGTCCGGGCCGTTGGGGGCCGGCGGGGCAGCGGCTGGGCTGAGGGCTGGCACTGCGCTGTTTTCCTCCGGCTTGGGGGTCTCTGAGGAGAGGGGCGTGGACGGGGCTTCGGATATGCTGGACTCAGACTGGGGCTGCTGCTGCTGCTGCTGCTGCTGCTGCTGCTGCTGCTGCTGCTGCTGCCGCTGCTGTTGCTGGGGCTGGGGCTGGGTTTTGCTTTTGTCCATCAGTAAATCATCCTGCATGGTTTGCGCAGCTGAAACGGGAAAAAAGAGAGACGCGTTATTGTCAATGTGATCATTAATGTCCCTCGCTGAAGCGGGCGGGTGTTTTACTTGCGAAAATCCATCGCCACCGCTACTAGCCAATTGCAATGCAAATCCATAATCTCCCATTTAGAAGAACAGGTCGGGCTGTTGGGTTGGGGGTAGGGAAGGTGCCGAGCAAGGTCTCTAAAAATACTGTGAGAGCGTCTTCACCCTTTCAGATGTCTTGGTTCCTTTTCTGTATTAGTGAGAGATGTACTTATAAGACAGAAAGACAGCAATTTCGCCACGTCTCTTTTCCCTTCACCGGAACTCAGAGCGTTCGCCCTGCAATGAGAAACTGATTCTGGTTCCTGTTTTTTCCCAAGCACCACCCTCCCCCAGTTATTTGCATACGTCAATAAATACTGCTGCGTCCTTCAGCAAGGTTAAAAAGACACCGCACACAGGACCCTTTCTTCTCCCTTCCCCAGCTCGAACACTTTAAAAAAAAAAAAAAAAAAGTAGTATTAGCCCTCTTGATTAGCAAACTGCCTTCTTGCGTTGATAATTGTTTCATTTAGCTGCAGTGAACCACGAGGGAGGAAATCCTTGGCATTTGTTAGAAGGACTCAGCTGCACAATCATTCTCTGGCCTCCCAGTAGCTGCAGCTACTCCATTTTGTTAGGAGACGGTTAAAAATAATAATAATAAAATAAAATAAATAAAACGTTTTTAAAGAGGTAAAAACCTACTGAAATGTTTGGAACTGCCTGCTTCTTGTTACTCTAAGGATTATGGTTTTACTGCTTGTTTCCCAATTTTCTTGTGTTCAATTCTGCCGCACAAGAGATTTCTTGACATCTCAGTGCTTCAGGTCTCAACAGGAGCCTGAGAATTTCTCTGCAGAGTGAAGAAATGCTTCTGGTTGGATTTAAGGTCAGAGAGAGAGTGTGCCCCAGCAAGCGAGCGCCTGTGAGATAGGGTGGGGGTGGGGCTTTAAAAAAATCCCTCGGAGATTTAAGTAGACAGTCAAGATAATTCTGGGGTTGCCAGATTTTCAATTTTGAATCCTCCTGCTGCTGTCTTGGTCACAAGACTTTGGCAAATTTAGAAGCCATTCTCTTATCACTAGTATTAGCAGCGAAACGCTATGGGGTTTGAAGACCCTTAATTACCATATGCTAGCAAAAGTGTTAAAAATAGAGAGTACAAAGTCCCAAATTCTTATACATTGTAATTATAGTGCATTTCCATCACTGCTTCATTTAGCCATATAAGGAGTGTATGGTATTTTCCATTTCACATACAAGGGCTATATTCACCTCTACCATACAGTCTGTTTTCTTATTCAAGGATGAAAATTACTAATCACTCAAAGCCTGGAGATTGCCATACATGTAGTTAGCTTGTCTTTATAACATGTTAATTGCTTTAAATATGTGAATATTACGGTGCTGAGACCCTGAAAACAAATATTTTTGAAATGTTAAAGGAGTATATGACCAAACATATAATTATTTTTAGATGATGATTCAGTACAATTGCAACAAAGTTATTAATAAATATATGCAGTTAATTAACCCAGATACTTTTAGAGGAATCTTTCTCAGGACACTTGTGAGAAGGCATTCAGATACACAGACATCCTCATGATAATAACTATTGTTAAAATCAGTGTATCAGATAATGAAAATATTAACTTATGCAAAATTATCGACAAGAAATTGGATTAAAAGTAGTTATTTTATTAAAGACTATCATTAAAATGGTTCATTAATATCCTTTATTTCAAAGTTTCATACACAAAATATGAAGAGCCTTTAGCTCTTCATGTGAATGAAAATTCACAGCCACTTCATTCTCCCTTCTATTCCTCATCCCCCTGCTATTCCTCCCTTCGCCCTTTCCCAGGGAAAAAACCCAACTCAATATAATATACAACACAGATTGTCGGCTACTACCAATAAAATCTATTTAAGAGATTGCTTTTATGTTCCTCAGTTCCCTTGGTCTAAAACAATAGCTTTGATCAACATTGTAAAATACAATACAAAGAGGCAAATGAAGCTTGGATTTAGACAACACAAAGTTCCATTGGTGCCAAAGATGGTCATAGAAAGAGACATTTTCATACTTGGTTTAAACAGTGCTGCAGTAAACCATTATAATCTGGGATTTGAGTCACTTCCAGTGAGCTAGAATTGTCTCTATAATAGCCATATCATCATGGCTGAAATAGGCATTTGATTATAATTTTAATATCACTCTGCTTTTCCGATTGCTTGACTCAAGGCTTGTTGTTAATGCCTTCAGTTTAAACTACATGCTCTTCGTGGAAAAATTACTGCTGTACCTCAGCAAAAAAGCCAAAAAGTAAGTTGGACTCAGAACATTTTTAATTGCTTTAATCAATATTAATATATTCATTGAATTTTTAAAATTTTACACCAGGAACACCTATTTCTCTTCTCAACAATCCTTAAAAATGTAAATTTCACTTTCTGCATAAATTCACTCTGTCAAGGTCAAGACACACCTTTAATAAATTAGACCCTTTCAAACAAAAGGTAAGCAATAGATTAAGATAATATTTACAAAGGTAATATGCAGTGTCTCTCAGCACCTGCCTGTATAGTTTGTTTTGTGTTCTTGGGGTTGTTTCTTGGTTTTGGGGTTTTTTAAGTTTTGTTTTTGCTTATTTACAGCGAAGTGAGAAATAGATACCTTCTTCCCCTCCCCCACCACACACAATAGATACTCTTTTACATGCAATAACCCAATTTCAAGTAACAAAATCTTAGTAGCAGTTACCTTTGAGTGTCCAGTTTTTAAGAATCGATAAAATTTAAAAGTATACAGTATTTATTTTCTTCTTTCAGGTTGATTATGTGACCGCTCTGGCAAAAGCACTTTGACAACTGTAAGAAGAGAGGGCATGCGCAAACAGGGAACTGTGGGGGCTGAAGTCCTTCACAAGGTACTCGGTCTGACTTCAGCACGTTCAGCCGGGAAAGGAGGAAGTCTCACAAATACAGATTCCGAGGGGAAAAGGTTGTGTCCTGATTATAATATATTCTCCTAACCAATCTAAATCATGAGTTGTTGAAATAAAAGGGAGAAAAATAAACTGGTTTGTCAACTTGCCATAGGAAGCCAGGATAAAAGGAAACTGAATTGTAGTACTCAGAATAAATAAACCAAGCAGGGCTACCTTAAATGGTTAGAATGGTAATGACTGGGTAGCCAGCAATAGGAATCCTACTAGAAAAATACTGGGATGGAAAGGAACAGACAAGGGAGGGGTAACTACTGGAGAATCTTGGATACTTGAAATCTAACCATACTTAAAACACTTTAAAAAAATTTTTTAATTTTTCAGCAGAGATAGCATAAAAGAATCACTTTTAATATAGAATTAAAAAACACCTTAATATTAAATGTGATATTAACCTTGCCCTGGAGGTCAGGTGAAAATAGATTTTAGTCACAAATTTTTGATATCCACCAGATTTCTTTGTATTTTAGTTTTCAATGCAGGAACAAATCACTTATTTTAAAATTGTACCTGTTAAGCTCTGAATCAACTCATTTCTTTATTTTTACGTGTCAAAATAAAAGTTTATGCCGGTGTGGTGGCTCATACCTGTAATCCCAGCACTTTGGGAGGTCAAGGTGGGCGGATCACAAGGTCAGGAGTTCCAGACCAGCCTGGCCAACGTGGTGAAACCCTGTCTCTACTTAAGATACAGAAAACTAGCCAGGAGTGGTGGCACCCTCCTGTAAGCCCAACTACTCAGGAGGCTGAGGCAGGAGAATCGCTTAAACCCAGGAGGCGGAGGTCACAGTGAGCCGAAATCACACCACTGCACTCCGGCCTGGACGACAGGGCGAGACTATGTCTCAAAAAATAACAATAAAAAATAAATAATAAAAGTTTACCTTGCATTATTCATACAAACGATTACCTAAGTAAAATTCAACTCATTCTAAAATATTTGGTGAAATATTTAAAAACAATTGTATATGTGTAATATTTCACTGTATAAGGCAATAACTTTTTTCTTCAAGACGAAGAGTAGATACAATTTCTTTTTTTTTTTTTTTGAGGCGGAGTTTCCGCTTTTGTTACCCAGGCTGGAGTGCAATGGCGCGATCTCGGCTCACCGCAACCTCCGCCTCCTGGGTTCAGGCAATTCTCCTGCCTCAGCCTCCTGAGTAGCTGGGATTACACGCACGTGCCACCGTGCCCAGCTAATTTTTTTTTGTATTTTTAGTAGAGACGGGGTTTCACCATGTTGACCAGGATGGTCTTGATCTCTCGACCTCGTGATCCACCCGCCTCAGCCTCCCAAAGTGCTGGGATTACAGACTTAAGCCACCGCGCCTGGCTACAATTTCTTATTCTTTTTTTTTTTTTTTTTTTTTTTTTTTTGAGACAGAGTCTTGCTTTATCGCCCAGGCTGGAGTACAGTGGTGTGATCTCAGCTCACTGTAACCTCCGCTTCCCAGGTTCAAGCGATTATCCTGCCTTAGCCTCCTAAGTCCTGCCTTAGCCTCCCAAGTAGCTGGAACTACAGGCCCATGTCACCGCACCCAGCTAATTCTTCATATTTTTAGTAGAGATGGGGTTTCACAGTGTTAGCCAGGATGGTCTCCATCTCCTGACCTGGTGATCCACCCACCTTGGCCTCCCAAAGTGCTAGGATTACGGGTGTGAGCCCTTAAGCCTGGCCCAGTTTCTTTTCTTTTTTTTTTTCATTTCATTTTATTATTTTTTTTAAAAAAGATGGGGTTTCACCATATTGGTCAGACTGGTCTCGAACTTCTGACCTCAGATGATCTACCCGCCTCGGCCTCCCGAAGTGCTGGGATTACAGGCATGAGCCACCGCGCCTGGCTGCCCAGCCCAGTTTCTATTAAAAACCTTTTTTTTAGTATGGTTTTTCCTATAACCTCATGGTTCCAAGGCTGGAATCTCAAAACATGTAAAAATCAACTGTTACTATCTATAGCTTCTAAGAGCAATAGTTCAAGAACTAGTTTGTTCTTGTAGGCAGAAGATATTTCTTGCGGGATTTGGTTCAGTGCCACTCACCCAAAGGGTTAGGAATAAATGTCAGTTGTTGACTATGCTGATTGAACTTGTAACTGAAAATGTTAAGCATCATTTAAAATTGTCTTAATTTTCTAATTCCCTTCTTCACCAATCAGAACTAAGTATTACGAGAAACCACTGATTTGTAGCATATTGAAATCTTTGTTTCTAGTTATTTCTTTAAAAAAAAAAAAAAAAAAAACAAAATAAAACAGGTCAGGCGTGGTGGCTCACGCCTGTAATCCAAGCACTTTGGAGGCCAAGACGGGCAGATCAGGTGAGATCGGGAGTTCAAGACCAACCTGACCAACAGGGTGAAACCCCATCTTTTTTCTTTCTTTCTTTCTTTCTTGATCCCAGGAGGTGCTGAAGAAATTTTTTTTCTTTTCTCTTAAACACCGTCTTAAAAAAAAAAAAAAAAAAAAAAAAAAAAAAAAAACTAATAATTTAAGAAAAGAATCTTTTTTTTTTTTTTTTGAGACAAAGTCTTGCTTTGTCACCCAGGCTGGAGTGAGGTGTGTGATCTCAGCTCACTGCAACCTCCACCTCCCAGGTTCAAGCCATTCTCCTGCCTCAGACACCTGAGTACCTGGTATCACAGACGCATGCCATCATGCCCGGCTAATTTTTCTATTTTTACTAGAGATGGGGTTTCACCATGTTGGTCAGGCTGGTCTGGAACTCCTGACCTCGTGATCCACCCACTTTAGCCTCCCAAAGTGCTGGGATTACAGGTGTGAGCCACCACACCCAGTTGAGAATCTATTTTTTGACCCCCTAAGATTCCAGCCTAAATCTTCAAGAAAAGAATCATTTTGAATGAATCCACCAAAAGATCTGTGTAAAATAACTGAATGCTTACTTATTCCTGCTGTGACCTTAGCTTCTATTTCCCTTTTTTTTCCTTCCTCTATCCTCCTAAAGAAAGCTCTACTTTTGGCCGGGCGCGATGGCTCAAGCCTGTAATCCCAGCACTTTGGGAGGCCGAGGCGGGTGGATCACGAGGTCGAGAGATCGAGACCAACCTGGTTAACAGGGTGAAACCCCGTCTCTACTAAAAATACAAAAAAAAAAAAATTAGCTGGGCATGGTGGTGCGTGCCTATAATCCCAGCTACTCAGGAGGCTGAGGCAGGAGAATTGCCTGAACCCAGGAGGCGGAGGTTGCGGTGAGCCGAGATCGCGCCATTGCACTCCAGCCTGGGTAACAAGAGCGAAACTCCGTCTCAAAAAAAAAAAAAAAAGAAAGCTCTACTTTTGTGAAGCTGCTATACTCACCATTTGCATTCCAGAATTTGCAAGGATCAACTCAAGGTTAATTTTATTCCTGAAGACTTTGCTACCAAACTTTTGCCACATTTTCAGCTACTTTAACTAAAATAAAATAAATCCTTCCTGACATCCTTACAGCTTTAAGAAATAGATTTTTGAGGCCGGGCGCGGTGGCTCACGCCTGTAATCCCAGCACTTTGGGAGGCCGAGGCAGGTGGATCACTTGAGGTCAGGAGTTTGAGATCTGCCTGGTCAACATGGTGAAACCCCATCTCTAAAAAAAAAAAAGAAAGAAAGAAAGAAGAAAGAGATAGTTTTTTTCACGCCTGTAATCCCAGCACTTTGGGAGGCCGAGGTGGGTGGATCAAAAGATCGATCGAGACCAGCCTGACCAACATGGCAAAATCCCATCTCTACTATAAAAATACAAAAATTAGCTGGGCGTGGTGGTGCATGATTGTAGTCCCAGCTACTCAGAGGCTGAGGCAGGAGAATCTCTTGAACTCAGGAGGCGAAGGTTGCGGTAGCCAAGATCGCACCACTGCACTCCAGCCTGGCGACAGAGCAAGACTCTGTCTCAGAAACAGAAAAAAAAAACAGATTTTTTAAATATTTGAAATTAGGATATCAACTTTTAATCAGAAATGTGGAAAATGTTAAGTTGTTCCTTTCAAAGTTATGACCTTGAAATGATTTCTCTGGGCTTTATTAATCCACCTGACTCCAAGTGCAGGTCTACTAATAATATGCACAACGAAAATAAACTTTGGCTCTAACCCTTGTTAAATCATAATTAACACTGCCCATACTTAAAGGGATTGTACTGTATTAAAAAATAAACTAATCTCTGCTCCTTTTTTTTCCTAAAGTGAGCCTCAAATGTAAAAAGAAAATTACTTAAGCATTAAAACCAAGGTATAAATACCTATGAAACAAAGAAAAAATTATAAGCAAACCCTCAACAAGGACAAAGCCCTTTTCGTTAAACCTTTTTTTTTTGACAAAACCCTTTCTACTGAAATGTTTTTTACTTAACCATAAAAGAGGTACCTTTTTTTTTTTTTTTTCTTTTTTTTTGAGACAGAGTCTCACTCTGTCGCCCAAGTTGGAGTGCAGTGGCACAATCTTGGCTCACTGCAACCTCTGGCTCACTGCAACCTCTACCTCCCAGATTCATGCAATTCTCCTGCCTCAGCCTCTTGAGTAGCTCGGACTACAGGCACGCACCACCAGGCCTAGCTAATTTTTATTTTTATTTTATTTGTATATTTTATTTTGAGACAGAGTTTCGCTCTTATTGTCCAGGCTGGAATGCAGTGGCACAATCTTGGCTCACTGTACCGTCTCCCAGGTTCAAGCAATTCTCCTGCCTCAGCCTCCCCAGTAGCTGGGATCACAGGCATGTACCATCAAACCTGGCTAATTCTGTATTTTTCAGAGAGACAGGGTTTCTCCATGTTGGTCAGGCTGGTCTCGAACTCCTGACCTCAGGTAATCTGCCTGTCTTGGCCTCCCGAAGTGCTGGGATTACAGGCTAATTTTTATACCTTAAGTAGTGAT